GAATGCTAATAAAACAATGAAACAGTCTAATATTGGTTAAATTGACCAATAAGCAACGGGTAGTAAGTCAAAAAGTCAATGTTTAGGTTCAGTGAAGCGACGAAGTCAATGCGCGGGATACCCGTATACCGTAACGATGTAGAGTCACCACCATTTTGCATATTTTCAGTACTTTATTATAGAAAATTATCTATGTATGTTGTGACAACTATGATAGTCCTGAAATTATTAAAAAGAATCGTGTATCTAGCTCTCAAATCATTTAAGTTGTTTAATGTTTTTTAAAAGGTAGCCTAAACTTTCACTGCTGATACGGTTGTGGAAAAAGTCCTGATTTATTTCCAAAATTATTAACACCCTAGTCATTTAAATGCAATCGTGATTTGCATTGATCGATTGAATAATTCAATTTGGTGCAAATGTATTGTTCCATTGTTTCAGATTGCCCTAAGTAGTGATTAAGGTCAGTCTTTAATAATAAAAAAAAGTACGATTTTCCTTGAACGGATTCTTAACTCCATTACAAATTTATTGCTAAAGACACACTTCTGGAAATAGAAAAAAAAAAAGTGTTAAAAAGATCACGCATTCTTCCGAAATACAGGGTTTATTTAATAAATTAAACATTATATTCATTATATAAATAAAAATAATAATAAAACTCTTATAAAAACAAAGATGTATTGAAATAACTCAAATACTACTAGACCTATTTTAAAAATTCGTTCACCGATAGAAAGCTAATTTATCTGTGAGAAACATAAGCTATATATTTTTATTATTTTTCAATTTCTTGCGGACGAAGTCGCGAGCAACAGATATTAAAAATGTTTCGATTCTTTACAATCGTATTGTACAAGTATAGTTGTATCAAAAAGTACCTAAACCTGATCAATATTAGACTGTACTTGCAAAAACTGAGATTGTATTCGGTTAGAAAGCAACGATGTAGGACTGAACCGTGCTGACCCCATTTAGACGCAGATGGCGCCGCTAAGGTCGCCCGAGGCCCGGCGCCACCGACATAACCGAAAGTTAATCTGTCCTACCAAATATGTACATTACGAAACCATTATGCTGCGTAAATATTACATCTCATCGACTCAAGGTGGCTTTATTTATATATGTTATAATTTTACCTTAAATTTCGTCAAAGTATAAGTATTTATCGAGAGTTTACTACAAATCGTTAAAGTAATTTAAATAATATTAAAGGGCTAATACTTTTTTTTTTACTATTTCTTACCCATCTCAATGAGATGGGAGGAAGACTTGAGGTTGACTGCCGGTCCAAATTGGAGAAGAGTTACGCGTGATAGAAATCAGCGGAAGAGTTGTAGAAGGCCTATGCCCAGAGGCACGCTGAAATTAGAGACATAGATAACTCACCTATTTATGAAACATTAAGAATAAAAGGCTATATTATTATATTATTTTTCTTTCACTTGCCTAACTTGCTTAGTGATGATCGGATGTATCTTGCTTGTTCTAGATTTCCAAATATTTATTTAAAGAATATTATATATTAATTAAACAACAGTTAATGGTGTGACTGACCCATTGCTCCGTTACGTTTTAGTTTCGCTTTTAGTTTATCTACGTTCGAACCGAGGTTAGTCTAGGTAAGCTATCCAGATAGATAGAGCAGTTTAGCGGCCGCGCAGTATTTGATTACAGCAACGGTGAGTTTCTACTGTCGATTTTAACAATATAGCTATCTCTCTCAATGTCATTGAACAAAACAGAGATAACAATGTGTCCAGTGTTACGATTAAGTTAACGATAAACTATAATATTTTTTTTATGTTCCGATTATTATCGATTATGATATAACGTTATGATAATATCAAGGCACTGCCGCGCATAGATTAAATACATGATACTGGACGTAAACATAGCGATTTTTTTACAATAAATCAAAAAATATAAGTAACCACAACTAATGGTCGGTTTCCAGCTCCTTTTAATCATTCGTTAGTGTTTTTGGTTTGATAACTTAATTATATGAGTTTCCGACTTTTACCCCGTTGGAAATGTTAAAATAAATGGAAACTTCAGCAACTTAGCATATGCATATAATATATCTGTATTTTATTTATTTATAAGTAAAATTTTACTATGAGGATATGTCAACTTAGGTTCGAAAACAAGGTAAATCTAATTTTAGACTAAGTATCCTGTAGAAACTTCTAATGATAACCCATATTTTAAAATCCTGTACATGTAACGATTATTAAATCTTCATCAAGTTAAGAATTCAATTAATTACTCAGAGTGCGGCAGTTAATGTGTATGGTTAATCGGAGCTGAGGTCTGAGAGGTTATGGTAGGTCAGGTTTGATTACATACGCATAAGCGGTAGCGGGCCAAATCAGTAGGTCACTGTACACCATTAGTTTTCACAACACGTTACTATTTACTATGCTTTACTAGTATTTTATTAATTTAGATTTACTGTTTACAAATATTAGAAATTATGACCTTACCAGCTTTCGCCCTCGACATGTCCGCGTGTAAATAAAAAAAAAACAAAAGCAAGTAAACCATGCGTTCTTTCAGACTATCTTCTACGTCTCTGTCAAATTTCATATTCGTTCAGCCGTTTAGGCTACAAACACTAGCAAACATCCAATACATCCATCTAAACTTTCGCATTTCTGATATTAGTAAGATGTTGCCTATATACTACTTTGACTTTTGTATTATGGATATTTAATTTATACGTTCACTAGTTTTCGCCCATGGCGATCGCGTGAAATTAAAAAAGAAGTAAGTAGCCTTTGCTTTTCTGACTACGTTCTACATCTATGCCTAATTTCATTAATATTCGTTCAGTTTAGGCGGCAAACTAATAAACATCCATCCATCCAACTAAACTATCATATTTATACTATTAGAATCATAAAACTAGTGTCAAATGTTAGTAAGTCTGCGTAATATCCACAAGACTTGTCTATTACATATCATAGGAAACTCTCCTGAATTTTATTAGTAAGAACTTCATTGACTATGGCCTAGTCATACCTTATTTTCTAGAGGGAATTGCTTTAAGCATACTACTGCGCCCAGGAGGACACGGTAGTTATGGGGGATTCTCCAGTTGCGAGGCATATCCACTAAACGTCTCTGTTCCTCCAACGCATTAGACCGGGGCTACGGGCACGCTTTCGCTTTCGTCCGCGACCCCGCCTGCATGGCCTAATCATCCCTAACTTAGGGGCCCACACCCATCAGTTGGGACATGTAGTGAGTTGATGATGAAGAAACTCGTGCTTTATTTGATCATAGAGTTGATAAATTGCTCAAAATATCGAAGATTAAATTTCATTGAACCAAGACCTCGAAGTATGACGTCATAATTTACATATTACAATGGCCAATGTTACATAATAGCGTGACTTGGTCGAGAGGAATTCGGTCGCGTATTTCGCTTGACGTATAGAATGAGCTCTATGCCCAAATTTCCTGCGCTCTATAGAGACTATTATGCCGATGTTATCTATTACTAATATTATAAAGAGGAAAGATTTTTATTTTTGTATGTATTGAAATAACTCCAAAACTACTGGGTCCTTTTTTACCATTAAAAGGCTACGTTATCAGTGAGTAACATCATACTATTATTATAAATGCTAAACTTTAGATGTTATAGTATGTAGCCTAAACGGCTGAACGGATTTCGATGAAATTTCGTATAGATGTAGAGGATAGTCTGGAAGAACACATTGGCTATTCACTTTTTTTTTTAAATCCACGCGGACAACACCTAGCAACAGCTAGTATGAATATAAAAAGTATCGCAAGTTTTATATGAATTTAAAATCAAATCCACATTCAAAGTAGGTTGTATCTACGTTTAATATTGACCCTGTAAAAAAACTACCCTTGTTAATATTACAATTAATCTATACGTGAATGTTCTTCGGTAAAAAATTTACTTATAATGATGGGTGTAAATTAGTTAGAGACTGAGATAAAAACCAGACTTTTGAAGCAATTTTTAACATTTAGCATTTTGGTATGCCAAATCAAATTTCTTGCATCTTTATATTTACCAGCTGTTGCTCGCGACTTCGTCCGCGTAAAATTAAAATAATGTAGCCTATTATTATAACGTAGCTTTTTAATGCTGAAAGAATTTTTGATATCGGCTCAGTAGTTTTTGAGTTATTTCAATACATACAATAATACAAATCTTTCGTCTTTAAAATATTAGTATAGAAAAAGATACAATAGGCACCAAAATGCTTATATTCAGGTTGTGTTGCATTAAATTTTATGAGTTACCGAAAAACGAAGTTACGACACCTTAAATACAAGCTTACCGTGGGCTTCTATTGTGAAAGCATCAACACAAAAACGTTGTTATCTCAGTTTTTATTAAATAGATGACAAAGATGACTATATGTTTCGACAATGGGAACCTGCAGTTACAAATGGGTTGTTTCTCGGTATAGGATGACCTCTGGGGAATGTCAGCTGTATTGCTTAATTGTGGCATTGTTTCTTTGAGTGGGGACATGGAGCGTTTGCAAAAAAAAATTTGGACACTTTTTATTGCATTTGTCATTGACGAAAGTAAGTGTTTGCAAGAATTGCGCATGAAAGACCGACGGGACGTGACTCTTCAAACATTTTTTTAATAATGTTATCTGGACATCTTTATTGCAAAAAGAATTAAAACACATTAAAAAGATTGCTTCAATATCTTCGACAGAGCGCGCACTTGACTAAACTATCGCACAACTGTTTCGCGCTTTGATTTTTTAGTTGTAAACACTTGAAATGGTTGTGAAACAATCGACAATCGCATAACAATTTAGTCAATGGTGTGCACACGCTCTTAGCTAAACAATAATGTGCACAAATCTTTTATTGAGGACATCTCGTTGCTAAAATGTCATTTAAAAAGGGAATGTTGTAATTATGTTTTTTGTACTTTACCACCAATAGCAGTTAAGTTTTTGTTAACAAATATGTAATAGACTGTTTGTCGACAGGTGTGGCATAAAGGTTGCTTCAAATGCCAGGAATGCGGCATGACACTTAACATGCGTACCTACAAAGGCTACGGCAAACTGCCATACTGCGAAGCGTAAGTACCATCTAAATATATTATGAACTGGCTAAGCTACAAAGACTTAATCGAGATTAAAAAGTAGTAGTCAAGATGTTCTTCCAGGTTCTACATCTATGCCAAATTTCATCGAGATCCGTTCGGTAGTTTAGGCGGTAAACTCTAACAAACATCTATCCATCCATCAGAAGTTTCGTGTTTATAATGTTACTAGTTTTCGCCCGCAACTCCGTTCGCGTTGAAGTAGAAAAAACAAAAGTGAGTAGCCTATGTGTTCTTCTACTATCCTCTATGTTTATGCCAAATTTCATCGAGATCCGATCAGTCGTTTAGGCTACAAACTCTAACAAACATCCATCCATCTAAACTTTAGCATTTATAATATTAGTAAGATTAGTAAGATATAAAAACTACCTTGATCTAGTCATATTAATAAATGGTATGCTATAGGGGTTGAATAAAAAATACTGCGATTACGTATACCAAAATAAGCACTTGGCTAGGTAAATTATTTTTCATTTTGATGACTGCTCTATTTCTCTTTCTACTAGTGAACCAACAACTTTATTTCCCATCGTCATACGCTTTAAGGGAGTTTAATTGACAGATGTTTTACCTGATCCACGTTGGGAATAATATTGAGCGTTTCCATTTCTCGTTAACAATGGCATGCAACTCTGTTCACACACGCCTGGGCATTGATGGAGCGCGTCGGATCATTGCCGTCCGGCTGTGCGTTTTCACTCACATCGTGCGCAACTCGTCCGCAACTAGTCCCCTGAATTATTTATTAACTTTCATCTCACATGCTCATAATCTTTATCGTATCAGTAACAATCTTAATAGAGTTAAAGATGCCAAGGGTCTGTTGATGACCGTTTTAATACTAAACTGTTAAATCGACAAAACAAAACAAAATACACCAAAAACAAAATATTCTCAAAAAAAACAGTACACTAAAAAGTAACGAAATAATTCCTTGAAAATAGTAA